GTGACGATTGATATCCAATTTTTTTATGGTCAATAATTAAGTACAGATGAAAAAGTATTCAAATAACTATTGCTATCAACGATAGTTTAGGATTTATGATTATATTATCTGTCTTGTTTTTAAATAATCTTTAGTTTAAAAAAAAACTTTTCCCGTGAGGTCACGTGATAACCAAATATGGGATAATAGTCTCGATCCAAATGTTACAACGCGTACACTTGAGCAGACTCATGAATATTAATTAGACCGTTCACAACGTTAACAGATCGTTATTATAACAGAAACAAACGTATGTTTTCCATATATATCTAAAATGATATTATTTGTTATTAATTGTCCGGTGAATTAAACAATTTAAATTGAAACAATTCATAATTCATCATATTATGAATACGTAACAACTTGTAATTTGTGTGTAAAAAGTCGTACTAAAATACGCTGTTTGAAGGGGGCGTGGCATAAATGTAAATGTCCGATTGGGATTTTAAATTTTCTGGACCCCTGACTTATTGTAATCTAAAATGTCCCATAGATTTTTAAAAATTTGTTCATGATGTAGAAGAATGCCCTTTCAAAAGTTGATAAAAATTGTGAATATTTCCAAATGACCTCAGCCATCAGCAATTTGAAGATTAATTATTAAGATATCTGAAATAATTTCCAAGGATCAGTCAAGTTGGTTGAAGATGTATGAACCTGTGGAATCCACTTTGATGGTCACACCCCATCCATGATAATCATTTCCTTCAGTATATAGATACATCCGACCTCCCTGATTTATTTATTTACAAGTCTGGTCATTTCGGACGACTGTTGTTTTATTCTGGTTTCCGTAACTGCTGTCATCATTTTCAGATATCACTTATCCATATATTTAAGCATTTGGAAAAAATATGTCGCTCATGTCGAATGTCCTTAAAGGCAAGGTCTGTTTAGAACATATGTCCTGAAGAAACATTTCAGCAGCTAAATGACTACACTGTACAGATTTTATTCAATTGTTTTGGAAAGTCCAAGAATGAAAGTTGCGACCTTGACCTCATTTAGGACAGTCGGCAGACCACACTTTATTTATTATTTCCTGGCAGGGGATATAGCAACGGAGTTTGTCCGTCAGTCCGTCCATCCGTCAGTCCCTTATCTTCTCAAGTAGACACATTTTCACAAAAAGTTTTTAAGTCTGAGAAATGAAATTTACACACAGATGTTACTGGTCATGATCTGAAAAAAGTTCGAAAATTGGTGTTCTAAATTTATTTTTTTACAGAGTTATGGGCCTTGCCCCGTGCTTTTCAACTTGGTGTAAATTGCGTGAAATGGGGACAACTTTTCTCAGAAACTACTGAAGTTACATGAATGAGGGTTTGCATGCTTATTAGTTGTGTAACGATACGGCGATACAGTATTGTATCCCGATGCACAGCCCACGATACGATGCATTGATTTGGAAAGCATGTATCACGATACATACGATATTTTCATAACACAGTTTTACTTACTGAGTATAGTTACTTGAGTATAGTGCCCACTTTTTTTTCCCAAAAACACAGCTGTGTAGAAGGGGGTGCGCATTAAACACGAATAAATGAGTTTTGATGTTTTTTCCCCCATGTAATGGCCAACATTCCTCAGTTATGCCCCTTTACTACTTCGCCAATAGATGGCGCCAAACGCTACGGTCCTGCGCGTACTTCCGGTATATTACGCGATTCATAGACATTTGCACGACCAACAACTACAACGAAGTATTTACGATGCCTTCGACGTGCTGCTGTGTCCCGGGATGCTGCAATCGAGGTGGTTTGTCGTTTCCGAGAGAACCCATGTTGCTGAAACGATGGTTGATAGCTATTCGGAGGAGCGACGAATCAAACCAAGGCAAGATGTGGAAACCGTCACCTCACAGTGTTGTGTGTCATTCCCACTTCAGACCGTCTGATTTCATTGCTGTAACTAGTTATGGTAAGATATTTGGGTACCTTGTTATGTTTCTATTCGTTGGCAGATTTAATAAACGTGCATGCCAATTATATTTGTTATATTTTCTTGCATTGAAATTACGAAGAGGGTTTTACGTGACTCAGAAATGTGTATCCAGTATGCAGAAATGTGAAGAATGGACGCAGACAAAATAGAATTTGTTCCGTCCCGCGGGACACACTTATTTTCACAGATAGTTTGATTTTGTCATTGAGTTAAATTGAGTAAAGATTCTTAAAACTTCGAAGTGTGTGATTTTTTTCACAATAATTTTAGTTCCCTCCTGTCAGAGTAGGCAAGTAAATTTTAGTATTGGCTAATTCTAATGTAATCATGTTTGTGTGTGTTTGCATGTGAACCTATGAGTATATTTCATTGTTTTTTTAAAACCAAGATAGAAATAATGTGTCATTTAGGCCTTACTATAGTAGCCATTTTTTTGCCAGTCAGTGATCATGGTTATGTTTAGGTTTGACCCTCATATATTTCATGCAAGGGCCTTTGAAATCAATTACTGGGGGTCTAGTGCATACCCAGTTAATTAAGGTAAAACCCTGTTTACCACCATTATATTCCTGTTTATGAAGTTGTTGATGTTTGACCATAACCCTTCTTAGTTTTCTTCTTTAATTTGTTGAATTGATGATTACCAGGAATGTCAACACATATTTGACGTTTTTGCCTTTAATGCGTCATGTTACATTTTCCTGCAGGTGCTTGTTTTCCACAGAGATGAGGCACAGATGATTCAAGAATACAGGTTCATGTTTGTTCACTTTTGATATGTATTTGTCAGAATAGTGTCATGTGTACGTGTTGAACTTATAGACACTTCTCTGTATCAGGCATTAGATGTATGTAATGTTGAGACTATATCTACGAAAATTGTCAGCTAATTTATATCATAATTTTCCTTAATTTAAATGTTTGTTTACTTTTCTAATGTATTGATGTGTATCACTATTATGTTCATAATGTGACAAAACATATCGTGCCCATAGAAATTTTTTATTTCCCTGCAAATTAACTTAAATCTAATCATAAAAAGCTATCTCACAACTGGTAGTAAAAAGATTGCACAATATCTGTTTGGAAAATAATAATCTACTACTGTTTTCCCCAGGGTGTACACCTCTGAGGAAACAGAGAAAACCAGATGCTGTACCATCAATCTTTCCCTGGACTGCATCAGCCAACGCACTTGAGGCCGATGGAGGATTAAGGAAATCCCGCATTGAAAGACGTGAGAGCCAAAAGAGGACATTTAAAGCAATGGATACAGATTGTGATATTGAATGTGATCTCAGTGAGGTAGCTGGGGAGGAAATAATTGACAATGTTGAGTTTGATGACATGAATACCGACTTAAACATTTGTTCTGCAGATAGTGCAGAGGTTGAATATGAAAGTACATCAGCTCAGACAGACAAATTTCCAATGCTTTCATTACAAAGTATTATGTTTAATGCTGCAGCAATTTTGTTTTATACAGGACTGTCAAACTATACAGACTTCACCTTTGTACTTGCAAGTTTGGGTCCTTGTGCATATCACCTAAATTATTTGTACAGCAAAGTTGACAGTATGACTATCAGTGTGGAAAATCAATTGCTTTTAACACTTATGAAACTGCGCCGACATAAGACTAACTTTGAACTTGGTCTTCATTTTGGAATTTCAGAGAAAACTGTATTAAATGTATGGATCACCTGGGTAAATTTTATGTAAAGACAGTGGAGTGAGCTTGATAACTGGCCAGAACGAGACTTAGTGCACTATTTTTGTCCTTCTGATTTCAAATCCAAATTTCCATCCACACGAATTATCATTGATGGTACTGAATGCCCTATCCAGAAACCAAAACGCCCCATAGCTCAGCAGTCTACATACTCAACGTATAAAAATCGAAATACTATCAAAATACTTGTTGGATCCACACCAGGTGGTCTTGTGTCATACGTGTCTCCTGCGTATGGTGGCTCCACAAGTGATCGTCAAATAGTAGAGCGTAGTGGTTTGACAGTGATGTGTGACCCAGGAGATAGTATTATGGCCGATAAAGGTTTCAACGTACAATATATTTTTGCACCAAAAGATGTTACCATTAATATGCCAACATTCTTCTCAAAGAAAAACCGTATGTCTGGCAAGACTGTTATGCGTGATAGGAAAATATCAAGCAAAAGAGTTCACATTGAACGTATTATTGGTCTGGCAAAAACATTCAAAATACTCACTGAACCTCTTAACAGTTCAGAAACCAAATTAGCCACAGAAATAACCACGGTTTGCTTCATGCTTTGTTCTTTCAAAAAGTGCATTGTTCCCACTACTTGCTAATCATTAAAAATATCTTTGATTCCAGGCGGACGTTAGTCAGACGTAGAGTATGGAGATTTGTTTCTAATTTCTTTCAAAAAGGCCTGTTATTTGCGTTTGCTACATGATTAAAGATAATTGTTGCTAAATATTCATGAGGATAAAGTTGAATGTAACATGTTATCGATTATGTATCATGTTGAGACTAGAATGGGAATCTGTGGTCAAAAAGCAAGTTTGAAGCAAATTTACCATTTGTGCAGCCACAATCTATCATACTCTTTTGTCAAGGTACAAACATAAATGTGTTAGTATCAGAGATTATGATAATGTAATGCTAAACGTCCTGTTCAATGTGGTGTTAAACCCATCTCACTCACTGAATTTGTTTTACATTTATGACATCAGTGACATGAATTTAAGAATGTTGACATTGTTTGGTGCGTACTGTTACATTATCCCCTGCCACAAAGTGGGAGAGACACATTTCTTGTCCGAGCATAATTCGGAAACTGTTTCATATGTCATTATGAAACTTTGCACATGTATCAAACACAAGTTGAACTGGTGCCCTTTCCTGTTTTCCATGGCAGCAATTTGGATTAAACCCAAATACTGGTTGCTTTTATTTCACGAACTTAAAATCTGAATAAGTTGAAGTGTATATTTCTGGATCATATATCCATTATTTTTTCAATGGATACATGTTTACTGAGAAACAAATTGTAATTTATTGTGTCCCATGGCTGTGTATTCTTGTTTCATATGATACTGGCAGCAGCTAGACCGGTCCAGATATTTGGCACATCTTAGTGCTGTTGCTTCAGCTCTCTCAGATGTTATAAAAGGCAATCATGACAAGAAAGAAGTCAATGACAATGTTTTTTTATCATTCCCTCAAACAGTTCAGCTGCAGATAATAATCACATGACAGTTGTAATTCCTCAGATATAGAGCTGAAGGAGTATGCTTCAAGCAGTGATGATATTTATGAGTATGGACACTGAATTGTGATTATGTATTGCACTGTATTGCACTGCTTCATCTATATTTAGATCTTCCAACTATTAACTACTGGAGTACTTAACAGATGGTTGCCATCGTCACAAAAGGAGTTAAAAGTTAATGTCACATCAATACTATTTCAGCCATATAGCGACAAGACCAAGTTGATATACACAATTTACTCATGAATGCAAAGGTATATTTAAAAACATTTTTTCATACACATTTGGACATAACAATATTTATACAGTTTTAAAACACGGGTTATAGGCCATCAGAAACCAAAGCTAGGCCACCTCACCGGGGATCATGGGGACTTACGGTGCCTCTGCTTCCTGCACGATACCCCAGCAGGATTTATGTCATTAACTAAGCCACTGGTGGTTGTGCTCAATACTAGCCAGTCAGCAATGATGTCAGTTGATTATAGCATCACATCAAATTTAAAAACAGGCAATTAATGATTCACATACATATTTAGATTATTTTTTTTTACAGACCATTTTTTCTTTCAAGTAGTTGATAATGAGGTGCCTGGTCATATAGTACTTTATCATCCAAAACTGGCTCCCACAGGAGATATCGCTTGGATGAGATCAAGCGATATCTACACTGTAGATATCGCTGCAATGAAATTACATCGGGTGAGATTCTCTATGTAACAGTAAGTATGAACTGACATCTGAGATTGTATTTATTTAGACTAGTGAATGCATCCATGTATGGGACCAGTGTGTACGTTGTGATATTTAGATTATCCAACTTATAAATACTGGAGTGATTAAGAGATGGATGCCATTGTCACATAGTACTGTAACAGTAAGTACTAAATGTCTTAATAAACATCTGAGATTGTATTTATTTACACAAGTGAATACATCAATGTATGGGACCAGAGTTCAACCTGGTTTTGTCTGATGCAACTCTTTTCACGTCAACATGCATCTGGTGAAATATCATCCTTAAATGGAGCCCCGCAAGTTTTTTCATAACTTTTTGTTTGTGAATGTCCATATATGCAGAATATAATATGTTCAGCATTAAACATTGAGACTACAATTCTGTCTTTCTTGTTTATAGGGCTGATGACCATTGACACATGAGTATCAGCAGTAACTGAAATTTACCAGGAATACCTGTCATAATCTCTGAAATAGAATTTGTCAAGTAGTGCCTTTTTGAAAAAGGTGTCATAAAATGCCACAAGTTTTTCAACCATGGATTCAATGAAATGGTCATCTCGGGATACAGTAAAATATTTCAAATCCTTCATCGTGTATACAATAAAAATGCACTGTTTTCTACCAGTACAGTAGAGCTGCCCTTGCACTTGAAAGAAATATGGCTTGCTTTTGTCAAGGGTAAGTTTTCCCTCAGATACCTTCAAATAGGGAACAGTTATCTCAGAGATTAGACGGTCTTTAGATGCAAATGGACATTTCACTTCAATGGTAGTATCATCACTGAGAAGTGAATCAGGTGAAGCTGCGAGAAATGGATGAACATCTGACACAAACATGCCACATGGTGAGGTTTTGAAACCACTTGACTTTTCAAAAGCTTTTATTGCCACCTTTTCATATTTTCTGCCATGTCTAAGTGGTGGACTTTGAATGTCCTCGAAAGGCTTAGTCATTGATCTAGCAAGTTTATGAAAATCAGTTTTGTCTGTTGCCAAACAAATTTTCCCAAAATTGGAAGAAGAAATTCTCTGTGTGTGTTCAGTTTTCCATTCCTCGCTCTTTGACTGTTTACGGGTTATTATTTCAAGGTTGGTTTTGTCCATATCTGATATTTCTGATATATTCTGGGATTTCAGGTATTGGTCAGCTAAAGATAACTTAAGATAATCATGATCATGATTAACAGCAAATGGATTTGCTGGAGGAAACATTTGAGCAACTGGAAATGTATTGACACTAGGGTGGTTCAACCAAACATTGCGGAAAAAGTCAGGGTAATTTGGCACTTGGCGATACTGAACTGGTCGTGGGTCAAAAATAACATTCAATTCACTGTTGCATAAATCAAGGTCAGTCGCCTTTATGGGACTGCCTTTATAGGGTTTACTTTTATGAAATGTTTGTAATCTTTGAGTACATGTTTCTTCAGTTAAAACATCGCCAGTTGTTGAAAACTTGTGCATAGCATATAACACTGCACAAATATGTTTGCAATGTCCTGATGGACCCTGGCCTGCAGCACACTCACACTGCCCCTCCACAACAGAACCATCGTCATCAATAGCAATATCGACTTTGTAAGTCACATGCTTCTTCATTTCAGCACAGCACTCAGACTTCAGGAAACACATGTTATTAGGTTTTGAATAACGAAAAAATTTCAAAAACCTACTAGTGTACAGATTCATTGAACTTGAACCAAGTTTCTTCTGAAAAGGCTGTAAGTAATAATTTATAGCTTCATATGCTAAAAAAGGAAGATGACTGTCTCCATTTACATCCCTATAAGTTTCAACTAGGGGCAGTGTCATTTCAAACTCAGCTTCAAGTTCTGGCTCTCTCCCAAAATTGCAGTTTCGGTCATAGCTCTCGAGTCTGAAAAACATTTGAAATAAACAACTGTAAAAGAAAAAACCTAATTGAAAAAAATCACTGTAAAATATATGGACTATTAAATTATTTTTGGAGTACACAAATGTCTTAATTTCCATTTTGTCAAAAAGTACAATTATTTTAAGAACAGATCCCTGTAACTCCAAAGTCAACAAATCAGTATTTCTGTCAGTAAGGAAGCTTAAGCCATCTCTGCATTGTTATCAGTACTAAAACTTGACTTTTGTACAGTAATAATATCTTTACTTGCACTACAGTAATTGTATATAATTTTTTTTGTTAGAAAACAAACAACATATAATAATACGGATATTAATTTTAACACAAGAATAAGACATTGTGTCACAAAATAAAAATACATGCAGTGAATAAGGATTCTTGATGTGTTTGCCTTCGACCGGAATCGAACCGATGTCTAAAGATTACTCTGTTAGACTACCATTCAAAAGCTTCATTACATCTAATTTTAATATTAGAAATATAAACCCTGTTATGCACATCAAAGTATGGACCCATCATACTGGTGAAGAAATAATAAATGTGTGAACCTTTCACACCTGTGGATGAAATAATAAATGTGTGAACCTTTCACACCTGTGGCTGAAATAAAAAATGTGTGAACCTTTCACACTTGAGGATGAAATAAATGTTCTAGGTGAAACGATACAGGGAGGTCACATCACAGTACATAAGGTCACATTTTTATGTCAAATTGTGTTGAAACTTCTTGACTAAATATTTCAGAGCAGGTTCAAAAGTAAATTTCTAGTAGTGAATTTGAAATGCTAATTACATCATATTTGCAGTACTTGACTGACACTTGGGTGTCATAAAACAAGTAGTAAGAAACTTAATTTAGCAAGTGTAAAAAAGTACTGTGTATCATGCATGAAAACTTGATGCACCAGTGCACCAATGTATCGTTTCAGCCCTAATAAATGTGTGAACCTTTAAAACTTCTGGCTTAAATAATAGATGTGTGTACCTTTCACACTGAGGAAATAATAAATGTGTGAACCCATCACACTTGCTAAAATGAATAAAACTATATGAAAATCTAAAAGGCACTCACTGTAAAGGACGATGAACTTGATAACCCTCAGCCTTTCTTCAGCCATCGGATGGTGCAGAGCTCAAGCAATTTTTAATGTTTTACAAATATTTCAGTACCTACCTCACGCTTTGTTACATCATGTTTTGGCCACAGATGAATCACAATTCCAAATATGTGTATAGCAACGAAGAAAGGGACGGGGGCATTATGATTATTTAAGATACATTTTTCGGGACATGTCATTTATTGGGGGTGGGGAGATAGGAGAAAATGTTACATGGATTGTGTGGGGGTTGGTGAGTTAAACGCGATGCAGTCCTTAGACCGCTTCCAAGATACTATCTCTGCTTAAATTTACTATGTATATTCGTATTATTGAATGATTGCCCAAATAATTATAGAATCTATAAACCGGAAGTTATCCCAACCGCATGTAAAAGGGTGTAATATTTTGCACACTGCCAGTGAGTCATTAATTCGAAGAATAAATTATTGTGACCGACACTTACCTTCCGTACAAGATCCGTGGTCACCGCTCTTTCCCTCGTCAGTGCATCTCAAAGCGTCCTTAGCAACGGGGGCATGTTGTTTACGTGAACGAAAACTGAAGCACTTATGTTGTCGGCATTATCGCGTCGATGCTTACGTTATTTGTTTAGCGATCTCAGTTGTCTAAACTAAACATATGTTCTACCAATGACCATGATACCAATATTGCACTGTGTAAAGTGACAAAATGGGGAATAGTTACTGTTACATTCTTATAAAATACCTGCTCAGTAAGAAAAGCCGAGAAACAGCAATATCAGAAACTTACCGTTCTATCAGATCGATTTTTCTTCCTGACACTCGAGCACCTCGTGCTTTGAGCTCAGTCTTCAGTTCGGGCAACTTCCAGCTTCCGTAATTCATGATAGAAATAGGCCTTCAAGTACTACCGGCTGTTTACAGAAAAGCAAGTGGGTCAATGTCGACTGAAGTTTATATGTTCCCGCGGATACAACGATGAATGTTGGACCGTAACTACCGCAGCGCCGCCAAGCGGGCAAGGGGGCGCAACTCCAGGAATGTTTGCCATTCTCGCCATCACGCGCACAGGAGCCTTGACGGTGACTGGTCAGACTGGTTCCATGTAAAAAATAATACCCGGCAATAGCGATCAGCTGCTTCGCTTAGGGTTAATATTATTATTTTAAATATGTTTAGTAAAAGCTGCATCTAAATGAACAAGATATTGTAATATATTATTCCTGATAAAAAAATAATTTCAGATACAACTCTTGCCGATCCTTGCATTAAAATCCTGTAAAGTTATATCATTGGGTGTGTCTTGACTGAATCACCGGTAGATTCCAAGAAAACGTGTGTACAGCTCATTGCTGTGTCCGGCTTAGTTTACGAGAAAATACACAAGGTAATCTTAATCCCTGGATATAAAACAATGCCTAAATGAACAAAAAATACAATTTAAACGGTAATCAACATGTCTGGTGATTTTTTATCTCAAATTTCGAATTTGTACTGACAAAGTTTCTCATCACCCTTTCATTTGCCGGACTTCGCCAATTTTTATCTGCGCATAATATTCAAATTTCTTTTTTTCCAAAATGTTGAAACTGCTAGAGGGGGGTGCGCATTATACATTGGTGCACACTATACTCAAGAAAATACATGAAATACGATTAACAGTTTCAAAGCCAGTTTGTTGTTTCAGTAAAACGGTAACCTCCCAAAACCCCTACATCCCATTTCGCCTACAGCTTAAGACAACAAAGTTCACGGTCCAGGGCACTGCTAATCCCTAGTCTATTACCTATTTCATACAATGGAACAACCCAAGAAACATGAATAGATTGAGATAAATATTAAATTACGATTGCGATATTATTCAAATTTCATAATACATTATAAAAAAAAATGTTCATTTTTCAAAATTCATAATACATTATAATAAAATGTTCATTTTTCAAAATGCATAATACATTATAATAAAATGTTCATTTTTCAAATTTCATAATACATTATAACAAAATGTTCATTTTTCAAAATTCATAATACATTATAATAAATTTCATCTCAAATGTTCAATTCACTCTTTATCCCAGCCTGAGGAAATGGCCAACTGCATCTAGAACCTGCATTGGGGATTTCACCTCTCTATTCAACTCGTCTATTCAAGACGGTTCTCCACCTCTCTGTACGCTCTCTTCCTGCCTCTTGGAGCTGCTCCAAAGTTGAGCTGTAAAATCTTAGCTCGTTCTGCCTGTTCCACTTTCCTGACTACCTCCACAAAATGGTAGATGTTGGGATGTCGGTGAGGGAGACCTCGGTTGAGTCGGTTATGAAAGCCTTCCAGGTTGTTGTTCGTCCTGGGACCTGTTGTACCGTGATGGTTCCACAGTGGTAGGGGGAATCATGCTCCGTGGTCGACCCAGGTAGTGACGATGTAGTCGTTGAAGGCGACAGCTCTCGGTACATCTGGTGTGGTGTCCGTTGCGTCAACCCACGTGTCCTCTGTAGCATTCCTCATCACGGTTCCTACTGTCGTGAGTCTTCCTCTACATGTGGACTTGACACACTACCAGTGTACGCAAGTCAGTCTCTCGACATTCTTAGTGTGAAGATAACCAATAGGACTTGGGGCTTTCCTCTCTGTGACATAACAAACTCAACATAGCGAAGCCCAGACATGTTGATGTCATGTTAGTCAGTTTCAAGTATCTATATACTAAACATAGCCATCTCAACTGTAAATCGTCCATCTCAGTTTCTCAGTGTAATAATTGTTTCTTCCTATTGTTATTTTTGTAATTTATAAAAATTGTCTTCTCATCATATAGGCATCTTTCATTACACTTACATAGTCCCCTAAAGCTCTACCCCTTTCATTTCTACTACCTCTACTCCAGACCTTAATCTCTCCTTTAGGTGAGTTCATAATACCAGACAGGTAAATGCCGCGTGTTGTTTTAACTGATTGTAGGGGAACTGGGTTGTAGGGGAAATGGGATGTAGGGGTTTTGGGAGATAACCAGTAAAACATACTGTATTGCTGACAATTTGCTATAACAGTAAATAAACACCTTATATCTTCTTCAGCTGTATTTGTCACATCTTTTAGAGAGCAGAAAGACATCAACTTGGCTTAGCTTGTACCAGTAAACACTGTATCGTGATACGTATGGTATCGTGACCCCTGTATCGTGATACGTATTGTATCGCGACCCTCACGTATCGTTACACCTCTAATGCTTATGTAAGACAATTACTGAGTTCGGTAATTGGTGTGTGAATTATTTCTTTACAGAGTTATGCCCCCTTGATCCATGAAATTTTACTTGGTGCATGTGCTGAAGTTAGGTTTTATAAGAGATACTTAGAAAGACTGAAGGTTTTTTTCCAGAGACGGGACCTTTTGTGTGTATTAATTTCACATTTAATCAATTTTTCTGATGACATAAAGAGGCCAAAGTGGCTTTTTCTTCTGAAGGCTCAATAGGACTCTTTTTTTATGGTCTATGTTAAAGGAGAGGCACTGGCCACCAAACTGTGGATGCCCTAGCCTATAATAAAAACGAGATAAGAGTGGATTAAATGGCCGAGGGTGCGCAGGTACTACATTAATCCCTCGCTACAATGCTACCTTCGGGGTCCAAATAATTGATAAGAATTATGAATGATCAGCGGTTTAGCCGAGGTGGAGTTGTAGGTAGTAGATGACCAACAAAACAGTATACATGCTCTGCCTACCTACCACTATCTACGTTGCACGTTTCAGAGTTTAAAAAAGATTAGAATAGAAGTTGTTTATGATTCATAGTGTAAAAAACGATTTATCGAGTATTAATATGCACTAAAAAACATATCGTATCCCTTAAGTGAATTCAGGCGAATAAACAGGTATAACAAACTTGGTCAGTTAAAAAGATGAAATTTGATATAAAAAATGACTAGACATGATGATTTACCATTGTATTTCCTGCTCTCCAAGGCATTGTTTGATAAATATGCAGAGATTAAGATGACCGTGTGTATTTTCTCGTAAACTAAGCCGGAAATAGCAATCAGATGGCTCACGTTTCCTCCCAATCTACCGGTGATTCAGTTAAAAGGTACCCAATGATACAACTTCAAAGAATTTTGATGCAATGGTCGGAAAAAATTATATCTGAAATTATTATTTTATCAGGAATAATATATTCCAATATCGTGTTATTTTAGTTGGAGCTTCCACCATATATACTTAAAATTATAAGAACCATTAGCGTAGCACTTTGGTACAGATGGTATGCAGGATATTTTTTTACGTATGGAACGATTTTGACCAGTCACTGTAAGGACTTACCGCGCTACATGTATTTCGATTGCGAAAACGTTATGGTTACATTTAAAAGTCCCACTGCCTCAAATATGACTTTTAGTGGGTCATGATACGGCATTTATGATATGTGTATCCATTCTCTTGCAACTGAAGTTTGTTTCAAGGCGTCAATAGCAGTGACCTGACCGTGGTTGCTGTAAATAACAGTGAGTTGTATGATCTAACGATCACTTCGCATACTATTTTGCCAAAATTATTGTGAACATTATAATAATTATTGAATGAAATTATGAATAAAATTAATAACTATATTGCAAACATTAGTCCAGATAAACAATGAACACCTTTTTATAACCAGATATTATAGTAAAAAGATTAACTTCAGTTCCGAATTGTTGACTATTTCCGGTGTTACATGATTGCGGTGATCAGCTGATAATGTTTTTGAGATGGGGGAAATAGTGGCAATAGTGTTAGCATGGGTACAGACAATCTTTGCCTTAAACAGAATATTATACCGGAGGCACTGCAGGATTAGGTAGCGGAGAAGGATCATTACTCTTGGGGCTTTGGGGGGCGGTCGGGTAGCCTAGTGGTTAAAGCGTTGGCTCATCACGCCGAAGACCCGGGTTCGATTCCCGACATGGGTACAATGTGTGAAGCCCATTTCTGGTGTCCCCCGCCGTGATATTGCTGGAATATTGCTAAAAGCGGCGTAAAACCATACTCACTCACTCACTCACTCACTTGGGGCTTTGGTAGACTGTTTGTTGATGATTGCGACGACGGCTTGGTTGTCGCAGAAAAAGAGGACCTTTTCCAGTGAGATGGGGAATAGCTCCAGTAGTGGCAAGTCGCATGTAGTTCCATCCGTCACCCACTGGTTTGGCCATCTGCCACTAAACCATTTGCCCTCCAGGTAGGGCCCAAAGCCAGCCCCAGCGGCTGCATCTGTAAACAGCTAAAGCAAATGGCTGTCTACCCACAGTTGATCCTGAAACACTGAAATGCCATTATAACGGGTGAGAAATGTTAACCACATTTGTAAGTCTTCCTTGACCCAGTTGGTAATCCTAATGTTGTAAAATGGTTGTTTACTTTTGCTGAGCAGATCCATAAGCCTACGGCTGAATGCCCTCGCCATTGGTATAGTATAACCAGGGTATTTTAGAAAAAGGGTTTTTCGTGTTTACTTAAAATCTAGTTTACTTTTGGGTAAAATATAGACGCATATGAGAGAAGTGATTGAGCAGGGTGAGGGCATCACCCCTGGGGCAAGTGATTATTGGTTTTGCTTCTCTTAAGTGATAGAGTATAAACTTTTCATTAGTACAATGAATTATATTAGTAGAATTGGTCTTGAAATGGGAATGTCAGAAGGGAGATAGATGGATGGAACAAAATGGTTAAAACTTGTGTTGATCAAATATTTCTGAGTACTACTGCTTGATTGAAATGTCTAAATAACATGATTAAGTATCTTTTTCGGCGCCTTCCAGTCTGGCAGAGTACTTGAGGGTATTTGATTATATGAGTATGTCCGAGCTGACCAATGACCTTAGGGAGGTAATCAAATTGGTTAGTCAGAAGGGCTTGATGGTAAAACTAATTACTATGGAAATTGGGGAATGACCATTATGACTCATTTCTCATGATGTCAAATGTGATTTTGGAGGGATGAGCTAAATTTATCATCGATAGTATTTTGTTAGTTGTCTGAGAGTGGTGCGGGGAGTCGGGAGCATACAGCTGAACAGAAAGGTTGGAATCAGAAATGATCCCGAGTCTGAAAAGAAGTAGAGTTAAACGTTCATCAGCAAAACCATGAGGCTCTTCAACGCATCATCTAGGTATGTGTGTTTACTTAAGTAATTCAGGCAACAACAAGAACTTATCTGAGGACCATGTGTGTATATTTATGATTAATTCTATCATAAATAAAAAGGACTTGAGCAAACCAGCTGACTTGTGATTTTGAGAAAGAGCTACATCATCCCTAGAACCAAGGAGTGGTTGATAAGTACAAGTGACCAAAGGTAGAAGGGTAAAGTACCCGGTACCTAAGGTTACAATAGCCCTGCACATTAAGTTAAGTTTGCCTATGAGGGACTGAAGGGCCCTTTTTGTGACCTTTATGTTATCAGTCGACAGGATGTCTTGGATTTCCCCTGTCACCTCCTTGATCTTTGACTCAGACTGTCAGACTTGTTGTGGGCAATAGGGACCCCAAAATGTTCCAGTTTATGTATGCATCTGGTAAGGTTGTCTAAGCACTGTCTGGCGCCTGCTGTGCCTGCTGTTAGGAAGTCGTCCAGGTAATGCATAATCTGGCGCTTTGGTAGATGGGATTGCATGCACCATTGCAAGAAGGTACAAAATGTTTCAAATATGGCGCAAGATATGGAGCAGCCAAATGGTAAGTTACCAGGGTTAGAAATTGGCACTAGTCCTATAGTCCTTGCCAAATTGCCCAATAGTAAGGGTATCCTAAGGACTAGTAGAATTTTGACATTTTTAAAGGTTTTGCTATATGCTATCATTATAAGGACTAGTGGACTGAAACTGTTAGTTTCTACCGCCGGTAAGCATTTATCGAAATAGAACTCACCTTCAAATCTGATGCAAACAAGAACAAAATTGGATTGGTGGAATGGTATAACTCTTAAGGCCGACTTAATGTCGAATTTTGCTGGTAATGCTCCCTTTCCTAGTTGTTGAACCATGTGAATAGCTTCATCAAATCTGCCATACACCACGGAGCAGGCCTCTGTGTCTATAAGGTCATTTATAGATTTGATCTTTGGATAGGATAAATGGTGAATTAGTCAGATTTCACCCGTGTGCTTACCTGAGTGTTGAACGTGGCCTGGCTGCTTCTTTGGCACCAGACCTACAGGGGATACTTGAACATTGTCAAGGTCCACTTCCTTTTGTAGCTTTTGTTTAACGTAGGTTGCCATGTCTTTGTGAATCTCTGATTGCAAGTTTCGTGCAAGGCGGCTAACGGCTACCCTGGAACTCAAGCTTGAAACCAAAACTAAAACCTACCCATAAGTAATCTGCGTCTCTATAATTGACCTTATATAATTGAGCATATTGGTGTAACCAGGGTGCCATTTCATTGAGATCTACTGGGGAAGGGGCCATTGAATTTACCTTTCTTGTCTGACCAAGCCGTGTCACTGGCATCCATGTTAAGAGCTTCGGTGATTCTCCCTATGGTGGGTGAACTGAAGCCGAGCTGTACCTCTTGGTATGCACTGACCGGGTTGGGTGCTGAATGTTCTAGTAACTGAAGTATTTTATCTAGTTGTTGGTGTACCTGGCTATCCGAGTAATAAGCCTGCGCTGCATTTATAAGCTGTGCAGATTGCATGTTAATTGCGTTGTTGGGAGAATTGTGGACATGCCACACTCCCGTTATTTGAAAACTCCCCATCGGCTGTGGCCTCCTGTACTACATGAACTCCCTGGGTTTGCATCCAGGTTGTCCTTGCCTGCTTGGCACCCCTCATGAGTTGTGGTTGATGGCTGCTCTTTCTCTTGGGAGGCATCACGGAGAGTTGAGTTGATGAAGGCGGTAATCATCAAGTGGTAAATGTCCCTGGGGTGAGCTTCGAGAGTGAAGCAAAATAAATTTGATACGATCAAGTGCTGAAATGGATGGTATTCGAAGTGTAAATCGGCAAATCAAACACGATTGTGAACAAAGAAAACGAACAAAGTGAGAGCAATTAGATATGGCGAAACGTGTGTATTTGAAGAGAGAAGTTGCACGAATGGCTATAGACGATAGAACAAAGGAGGGGTGACGTTTGTGCCCTGGGCACGGGGCAGGGTGCTGACCTGGGGGTGGGGGGATTGAGTTACAGCAGTAATTAGCCCATGGTTTGGATACGTGTGATAAAGCCACTTTGTAGTTAGTACAAAATGTAATTATATTCAATACTTTATGAACAAACAAAATTCTAATGTGCCCAATGGCGGGGGGTAGTGATAACGCTGTTTTGCTGTTGTGATATTGACCTTATTTTCAGGGTCTCAGTTTGATTGTTTGATTTTGGAGTTTGTACACATTTGGTAGCGAATATAATTCGGAAACCTACAGTTCTAGCTGATTTTTATGATGACATTTGATTCTTAAGGAAACCTGAAGTTTAATTTGGAATAAAGAAAGCAAATGTTTCCAGTATGGAAATGTGAACCCAGCTTGTTATATAAAAATCCCTCTTTTTAGAAGAGAGTTGCCAAATAATAAGGGCCACAACAACTTTCAGTGTCACTTGGCCAACTGTTCTTCCCCTTTTATTACTGGGTAATATATATATATATATATAGTAATAATTAACTAAGTGGAGTAAGATTGAACACAGTTTTAATTGGCTAGCGCTTTCAACTCACTGCGTACGAGTCTCATCAGGCCATAGCTGAATAACGGACATGAAGTAGTAACATACAGTTACTTGACGTCATAACATTTAGGAGAACTTTGACATCACAATACCAAGGTGACAATGGACAAATAACTTAAGACTTTACATTTAACTTAGGCATGTATTTATGAATGAAATGTTGCTCTTTTTGAAACAATGTAGGTTCATGATCAAAATTTAGCTTATATAGCGGGAAAACTAAAACATTGCCGCTTCCACATGTATCTAATTGTTCACTGAGTGGAATCGTGCGGTTGTGTGGCTGCTTTTTTTGTGATGTACGAGTTTAGATTGATTGTTTGTAGTGGATGCAATGAAAAGTATATCAGAAAGACAGAACTTAAATTAAAAAGAATGAATCTTCACTGTTCACAAATAAAGCAGCCACACAAACTGTGTTCAATCTAACTCCACTTATTTAATTATTACTTTATTGTGCCTGAGAGTTAGAACTTTACTGTGCTTTATATATATGAGCTTTAGTTACTCAGAGAAAATAGGACTAGTGTAATATATCAATGTTTTCAGAGGTGATAGTATCAGAAAAGTGTTAAACAGAAATGTCTTTGCGAGGCATTTAGAAAATTGAGAACTAAGTAAGGATAAGATATATGGATAAACAGCCTCTTTTTTACAATAGGAGCGTATCAGTTGGTGATTTGCTTAGTGTCAGTGGGCTGGTGGCTTATAAATGCAACTTGCCTTTATTGAAAGTTGAAGGTTGGCATTTGTAAATACATGCAGAGTAGATAATCATTTTTCTCAGATTTAAAGCTATCTGATGACTGAGATAGCTTTTGCTCTCAGGTAAGTGAGTCACATATCAATGTCTGATTCCAATTTGTCAGTGAGGTAATGAAATTTTCTACAACAGAGTCGGGCAGGTAGGAATTAGTTTCACCTATCCCTACAGAAAGGTTACCAACCACTGGATAGCCATCAGGCAGCTGTTTTGATCACTGGATGTGCTGTGATGTGTCACATCACTTACTTGATAGCAGTGTTAGAACCTACACCTAAACGCAGCTCCTATTGTAATAAAGAAGTTGTTCATCCATATATCCTTACCTCATTGAACAGAATTTGATATAAGATGTCTGTCAAAGTAGGAATTGTTGAGAGCAGTTTATCTGTCACACATAAGTAGGACATGTAATTCATCCTCTATACACTTTGTTACTTGGTGATATAACGACGAAAGCTTTCTGCATAAGTTACAGTTTTATATCTTTCCTTAACCTTGTATACTTTACTCTTTACTTTACTCTTAATTATGCTGGTATTGGTAGAGAAATATCTTTCCACATTTAAAAGTGATTATCTTCTGTTTTGGAACCAACTTTTTAATTTATACTCATTCACACACTACAGTAATTTGTTTTTAAGTTCACAGATTTCTCTAATTTCTTCATAAAAAGATACATTGTAAACATGCCATACATTCAAGCCTTAATGTTTCTACTTCAGGATGCGGAGGGCGCTACACAGGCTCATCTGGCTCCATCTACTCCCCTAACTACCCTGGCCATTATGGCTACAACCTGCACTGTACCTACATCATTGATGCAGGAGAGACATTGATCACTCTTGTGTTTGAAGATTTCTTTATGGGTAGTCTAGGCCCCTATTCGGAGGATTTTGTCGAGGTATGTGTTGTTGTTATTTTGTTTAAATGTATGCTAGGTATTGTGCACTTTAATTTTAAAGCAATTAGAACCAATATGGCATGAAGCATGCAGATAAGTCTACCAGATTAGTGAATATTTAAAAAAAATTCTTTTGCAGACAGCAAATAGAACATAATACTGATACGATACTTATATGAATGACCCTATTTTCCAATCATCAATAAGAAATTTGAAAGGCTAATGATTACACAATCAAACAGCATGATGTTTGTCAATGTTGGTGAATGGATATAAAGAATGTTACATCTTTATATTGTAGGGCTGCACGGTATTACTGGTATACCGGTAAACCGAAATATGAAATTGAACCAATTACGTATCGCGATATGTTTGTGATGTAGCGGTATATTGACAATGATTTTGTGTTTTCAAATTTAACTTGCTTAACTCTTTCAACACCGTAGGCCTGTAGATCATCTATACCTACCAAGAAGCATCAAGTCCCAAGACACCGTAGGCTGGTAGACCGGCCAATCCATAGTCATGTCAAAATAGTATATAATTTTATAAACCTACCTGTCATATCATTCATTTATTAAATCTATCACATTTTACAATGTCTGTAATACGTATTCTATTTCAATTATCATTTTATCATTTTTTATCGATAGATTAAGAAATTTTTCACTATTTCACGCAATGTTATTGAAAATAGGTAAGTGGATTTTATGAGATCTTATATTTGCCACAAATCGTCAAATGTTTGCTTCCTTGGGCCTAAATCTGGATGTTATGAATGTGTTAGCTTACATCTTTTTATTTACAAGAAGCTTAATTAAGTTGTAAATGCATTATTTAAATAGTAGGATAAACATAACTTTCATATTTATAAACAATATAGATCAGACCTTTCAAATTGTGTACAACATACAGCAGCAAAGATGTTTTACAAGCAGATATTTTCTTTGATAAATGTTGGCTTAATCTATCACACCATCAGAGAGTTAACTTACTGTAAAAGTCCAGTTTCCACCCTTGCCAAAGTAGGCTGGTATCATGGAGTTATATTTTGGCTGGACTAGCGGGTCTATGCATAGTCCAATCAAAATCGTGCAACGAAATCGAAACCCGGTTCGTAAACTGTCGTGCAGATTTCGGTCAATTGCAGGATTTGCATAGCATGTGCACTGCCAACTCATTGTCAACAGATTTTCCAAACCTTTTCATGTTTTTAATCAAGGTGCTCACATGATTTGATGCACTTCACGATGTAAGACCCGTTTTATCACAATATAGATCTTGATTATCGATCAAATCGTCTTGATTTTCCTTGAAACAAATGCAAGCGATGGAATCTGATTGGTCCATAGGAGAGGCTTAGAAGGGACATAACTCATAATAACCACTGGTGGCGCTACGATCGAGGCCAGGAATTCCAGCCTAGTTCGGCAAGGGTGGCAACTGGACATTTAAAGTCAGTTAACTCTCTTGCCTTGGGAAGATGCTATCACACAAGAGTCTCTGGAAACTCAGTGTCACAGCAGTAAATGCTTCTGGTTGACTGGTGTTGAAAGAGTTAAAACAACTGATATTGTCAGTCTTTTTACCTACGATGTCATTGTTATTAAACTGTGCGAAGATCTCTTTGATAAACCATTACAAGCTTATGTTACCACAAAGACTGGACCCATATACATAAATACCTCCATTTCTTCCTGAACCTATGAGCTCAACGGATCCATGATATCACTGAGTCTAGATCATATACAGAGTGAGATCTTTCTATAATCCATACAATAAACTAATGTTCATTCATTAAGATATTGATGGGTGTTGGGAACAGTACCTGTGAATATTTATGATTTAACACACACATTTATATACAGTTTGACAGATCATAATAATATGAATATCAAAATTCATCACCACTTGCCAAGTTCACTAAAATGTCACCAGTGGGAAGTTGTCACAGATAAACACGAATGCTAACCATGTCTGATCTTCTTTTACCATGGAATGCATGAACTGTTTGAGACACTTCTTTCCATCACACAAAAGAAAACACTGCAACATAAATGTTTTGGCACACTGGGATAATAAAAATCAGTAACGTAGTCATCAAAATGCTTGGGCGGTCTCCTTTGTCTGACGGGATGCCTCTGAAGAGGTAGTCTGGGCACGTCCTGGACAGGTGTGCTATCATTGGAAATAATTCTTACAAATACAATACCTTAATTACTTCAATGCCTGAAATCCTCTATTTTGGCTGTAATCACACTAAAATCTTTAGATTTTCAACAAGTCCTCTTCATTGTCTATAAGCTATCATCATGTTTGAGACCTAACACAGGAATTTGTAGTTATTATTGGTATTTTTATTTGTGTATAGCTGTGAATTCATGTGGACCGTTCAAATTGTACCCAGTATTTAATTTTGTGTGTCTGCCGCGAGCATTCTCGAAAATGTCATATACTGATAGAAATGTGGCGTAAAACAACAAACGAAAAAGAAAAACAGATAAATCGCGAAAAATCTTCATTTCCTAGACCTACATGATTTAGATTTACATGTAATTACTCCATTTGTAATCTGCAGGTTTATGACGTCTCCGACAACCTCCTTGTCCGTCTAAGTGGAGACAGACGGGGCTACATTGTCCAGTCAGCTGTCTACTACCGTGTTGTGTTTACTACGGATGAATATTATACCGGTACCGAGAAGGGATTTAAGGCTGTATGGACAGGTATGTAGATGTGTACTTCCATGATATTTTGCTTGCTTTGTAATTTGTCTCCATTTACTTCTAATCACTTCTATCACTTCACTATCCCCCTATCATGGGGCACATTAGAAATTAGTTCATATAGTAGTGCATATACATGGAGAAAGGGAGACTAACTTCAGAATCTTTTTTATACAAAAACTCAATCTTGACAACTTCACTGAAACTTCAATGTGAAAATATTTTAACCCACTGTCAGGAAGTAGGCTGGTTCAGATGCCGTTTGTAAATTGTGGTTTGTGTTTTTCTTCACAATAATTCACCATATATATACCTTGTACAAGTTCCTTTGTCAAGTGGTATGCCTCTCAATTAGGTAATTATGGTATCGGTTCTTTGACAACCATGTGCAGGTCTTTTTTTTATAGAAAATCCAACATAGCACAACAATTTCAGTATTTCGTTAATATGAGTATTAAGTTTCATAGAAGATATATTAAAAGAAATATGGATATATGATCCAGAAACAACCCATCTGGTTGTAAATGTACGCCCTGGTAATGAAAGAAACCTGAATTTTGGTTAAGTAAAAAAATATTAAATGGTTTCCAATTTATGCTCTGGAAACTAAATGTGATTGCTGAATGGACGAACAGACTCATGGACAGACAGCACCCATTCCTATGTGCCCCTCTCACTTTGTGGCAGGGGATAATAAAATAGTTCTTTGTCGGGTTTGAAGCACCTTTATTTCCTTATAATATATCCCTTTTGTGGTGATATGACATGACACTAAAGTGTATAATTCTTGCGAATCCTCTACCTCTATAACATCTTTGCCATAAATCCTGTATTTTGGCTTTAATCACACAAACTAAAATTTTCAGATTATCAACAGACGTCCTCTTCACTGTCATTTACACAATTAGTAGTTCCCAATATAGCACTATAGCAACCCAAGCTATGATGTGCGTAATGGCGGGAACCTCACTTCTTTCCTGTGTTTGCTAGAGTCAACACCTATTGTTATAGTTGTAACTACCTATCACTTGGTATTAGTCACATTAATCTTAGATTGTTCTATAAGTTTTCTTAAAACAGACATATTGAGTCTATATCAATAGCTGCTTATTATAGTGATGATCGTACTCAAGTGAGTATAAGGCTGGTGCGAGGTGTTTGTGAGGTCGCAATGGAGTCTCCCACTTCTTCTGCTTGTAAGAAGTGTGGCCATTTTATTGTCACGGAAGATCCATCAACTGACGGTACCCAAGCTGACCGCTCGGACTGCATGGGACTGTCCAACCGACCGAGATAAAGATTACATCATGGGACAGTCCAGCGGTTTGATGGAGGACAATCATTCCCGTAAGGGCTCCGTTATACACAGGCAGTCATCACAAGCTGCACGGACCTTACTCATAGTGAAATCCTGGCCACCAGCAGATGATGAACCGCACAGGTAACATGTTGAGAGTATGGATTATGACAAACATCCACCCCTCCCGGGAGTTACCCACGGTCATTCTGAGGTGGAATCGGACCTATATGAAGAGGTTAATCAGGCTGACAATTCACACCAGTGCAATTATACAGAAGGATACAGCTTTGTTGAACTCATTGAAGAATTGTATCATCTTATGCCTGTACTCCAACCTCCAGTGACCAAAAATTCACCACCTAAGATGCCAGAATACGGAGGATGTCATGTTCCTACATCATCTCAACACATCCACCAGACATTGCCTTGGCCGAGTTATGCAGGCAAGGTGGTATATCAGGCGTCTGATAATCTACTTAAGCTCAGACATGATGACCGGCTACCCTTTCCCACATTGAAGTGGAAGTTGTATAAAATACATGATTCTCCACTTCCGGATCATCAAGTTTTGGATGAAGACTTTATGAAGCCAGTACGCAACCCTAATACTATTGTCACTGTAATTTACAAGCCTTTTGTATATTTCAGTCAGTAGACAGTGAGATGAATCATATTGTACATGTTGTATGTGATACAGCATACCACCGTAAAGATATACGTTATTGCTACATGAATTGACGTATATCACCACTGATCTTACTGACTGTTTGTTTAATGTGCAAAAACAAAATGTGAACACGTTCTAAATCACCTGGTTTCGATTTGGCAAGGTGATAAATCGTGTGACGTCACCTATATTCATGAGTCTGTTCCACAAAACTACTTCTTGAAGCATAATGGCTTAAATCTGCCTTGTATGGCTACAAAATTACATCTAGTCCATGTAAATGCATTGTATATTACTACAGGGCATGACACGTAGTAAAATAACTTCTGACACTGGTGAAGTGCAATTCCCCAAGTTCCACCGACCGTATCCTCGTGCGAGAGATTACTTCCGGTATGACGTCACTATGTTGACAGTTTTATCGGTTGTAGTTTTTCTGATACGAGAGAGTGATAGCCGGTTCAAGCCAAGATATGTGAGTTGACATTCAAGTATTTTATATTTATTGTACATTTTCCTAACTGAATGAAATACTGAAAAGAATAATTATATTCTTGTAATGTAATAAATGTTATTCAGGGTTAGAAACTAACAGTTTTTGTCCACTAGTCCTTATAATCATAACATATAGCAAAACCCTTAAAATGGACCAATTTCTACTAGTCCATAGGATACCTTTACTATTGGGCAGTTTGGTAAGGACTACAGGACTAGTGCCAATTTCTAACGCTGGTTATTGTGCAATTCTTAATTGTGAAATCATTCTTGAAAAGTTAAATAATTAAAACTGTGTGGTTGGTGGTATTGGGAGTGATCCACAATTTGCTACCCAAAGCTGTACCCCAATACCCACCCCCTGAACCGTTACAGTTTTATGGTGGCAGCGGTGGGATCCGTTGTGGATCTCATATATAAATAAAGTAAGAATAATATTTCACAAATATTCCAAAAGATAATGTTTTGTGACAAATAATTATAAAATGGAAAATAATTCATCTATCACTTCCCTGTCAAGGAGAGTGGATCACGTTAATGATCCGGCTGGAAATTTACGCTCTCGCCAAGTGTCCAATATTTCGGAGCTAAGCTCTGGTGAAAATACTGGTACTCGGTTTCCAGATGTTGACTTTGGTCAAGGCATGAACGGTCTGAGCAACTCAATGCTGTTAGTCCAGAAAATTCACCTGCTGTTAGTTCAGTAGGTAGAGTTCAAAATGATCTGCAGGTAACGAGACGACCAGAATATTCTGACCCTAGGGTGAATACTTGCCATCCAGGTCTCACCTGCTGTTAGTTCAGTAGGTAGAGTTCAAAATGATCTGCAGGTAACGAGACGACCAGAATATTCTGACCCTAGGGTGAATACTTGCCATCCAGGTCACACAGTGAAGATTGTTTGCCAAATGTTCCTAGTGTGTACCCTGAGAATCAGTTTTCACAGAGTAGTCATAACTACCCATACACCAGACCTGTCAACCCCTCATCATGACAATGTGGGAGATTTGACTTCAAAATTGGGGAGATTTGCCTCTAAAGGGGGAGATTTTTAAAATAGTGAAGATAAGATAATTTCCAACTTTTATTTTTAATAATGTTACAAAAAAACACAAATATTTTGAAACAATAAATAATCAATAAGTTTTTTATACGTACAGCTTGCTTAATTTCCGTTTGCACTTTCCTCCTCCAAAAATAAACCCAGCACAATCTACCCATATAACTTTCGTTCCAAGATCATCTCAGATAAACGCTAACAGATATTGAAATTTCACAATCGGTAGCTTGACCAGTTGACGACGTGTTCCATCCGACGAGTTGTCAGGCTTCGTTACGATGCAGGTTTTCTGAGTATTTGCCGCGATGTTGGTTAAAAATTCGCAAAAGAAATATCAAATGCATTTATCTAGATGCAACATCATCGCCCCTAATTTCAATAAGATATACTGGGTTTTTTCTGTCTGCGGTAGTCTGTTGACACTCCCATTACTTCGTTTCTTAAATTTCCTAGAAATGTTTACGTTATTCCATTCCAAGAAATATTGGGAAGTACTACCGGTATTACGTTTTACTACAATTTATGAATGAAATGAGTCTCGTTGTCGTTGTTGACCTTTCTGACCTTGACGTGTATTAATCTCATTGGTTGACTAGTACTGTTGTATGCAAATTAGAATGCAGATCTGGGACGCAAGCAAACTATTAGCCAATCAAATCGTGTAAAATAATCACATAATACATTCTCGCGAGATTTGATAAAGTTCTATTTTGATATTTTCTGTGCACACAAGTCACGATGTCAGTCAAAAGGAAATTTATAAGTTTCACTTTCAACTTTGACTTTGAAACCCTAGCTGTGAGGAAGCCTGATCGTGTAACTCATTGTAATTTCGACTACCGAATCAACCAATCACGCATAGTGTTGTTTCTGAAGACGGCGCTTGCAGGACATATTGTATTTTCATTTCCAAGAGTTCAATGACGTAACTTTGGGGTATGTTGATGTTTTAACAAAGTTTCTGACAAATCTGATAACCAATAAAGTCATGTATAAATGGACCGGCCATATGTATCAACGTTCTTAAATTATAGGAAGAATAAACACGCTAAGAACATGAAGACAAAAGTTCATGTCATGAAGTGATGAATACTTGGCTGATTTTTCATTTCAAGTTCAACCCTTCAGGCACCTGTTAGGACTATCCGAGTTTACATTGTTCAATCGTTCACCATTTGAATTTAATTACCAGTTGATTACTGGACAAAGGCCCATGTGGGTCCCCCTGCGGGTGGCTGTGATAAGGGTCGCTAATACGGGAGCCTACCAGACAGATCGGGACGCAAACGTCCCGTTTATTGTTTTGACTCACGGGACAATGGAGGTGAATTTTTTAGATAATGAAGAATTCTGTTTTGCGGGAGAAATAGTCCATCATGCGGGAGACTGGGAGATTTCATCAAATTGCGGGAGTCTCCCGCAAAATGCGGGAGGGTTGACAGGTCTGATACACTGGTCAGACCGGGTACCCAGTACTT